ATGCGAGTGATACAGATGGGCAGCAGCTGTCAAACCCAGAGCGATGACCTGAGGATGTACAGCAGCTGCTCTTTTATCTCTCTCTCGATCACCCTCTGCCTCCCTGTGGTCTGTGGATAATGAGCAGTCACTGGCCTATATCTCCTCTGAACTTGACCTCATTAACTGACCTCTAAACGTGGATGTGTTAAGCACAGAGCCAGCGGGCCCTTTATTGCTTGAAAAGCACAGGAATTATGACATGTGACTGACAGCAAGCGTGTTCATGCTTTAGCTCTCCAATCTCATTCACATTTGCACATACACAAGATGTGCTTCTGCCAGGTTTGACATCAATGATGCCAAACGTCATTGGTCATTGTGCCTTGTACCTGATACACCTAATGTGAATATATGTATGAGCAAAAGAATATGCAGCAGCACAAACCAATTGTTATTTTGGTACTCTTTATATATTATTATAGCATTTATTGTGTGTATCACTGCTCAGGCCTCACAGTGTGAGTGTATCTGCACATACAGTATATGTGCGAGCACTTAAGTGCATGCATAATACAAGCATATGTGCACATAATCCCAGAATCTTTTTTCATGCTTTTAGAGATCATTTAGTGGATTAGACTATTGAGCATCTTGTTCTGGGAGTGAATCCATAATGTTAATCTAACACTGTGCACATAGATAGACAATTAATGCTGCCCAGTTTGATTGTAAACTAGCCAGTGTATGTCTATATGTTTCTATTAAACACAACAACAACAAAAAGTAGAAAAAAGTATGATGCCCCCCTCGTTTCGGCAGAGCCTAAAGAACTTTTACAAATGCAATGTGGTCAGATGCCCTTTGATGTTCTGACACTTTGGACCCATTGTGATCAGATCACCAGAAAACGTATTTTAATAGAAGTTGGAAAGAGGGCCATAGTGTAAGTGTGTTTTTGTATTAGTCAGCAAGAATATGAAAGTGTCTGTGTCAGCCATCGAGTGTGTGATAGAGAAAAGAGAATGAATTTCACGGCAAACAGATTATGAGATGAAGCATGAGACCACAGAAGAAAAAGAAAGACAGACTCACAACTGACCTTGGCTTTACCCTTTGGCACGTAATATATACCAGAGGCTCGTAACAGGAAGTAGCGCTTCTTCCAGGATTTCTTGCCATCGTCTTTGAGCCAGAGCACCCCTTCCATCTCAGGCACACTGATAGAGCTTCCACAGAAACACTCCTGCTCAAAAACACACACACACAAACACCTTTATCAGTCACCCCAGTAAATACAACATGCCTGATATGACCTAAATAAGTCACGCTGACTTTAAATCCTAAGAGAAAATGTAAGTAGGTTCACAGGCTGTCTCACCTCCAGCAGAGCCTCTTTATTTCTGTCTGCCATCTCACACGTCTCCTTACGCCCCAGCAAATAGTTCTGAGGAAACAGATGAATCAGGGTGATGTTAAAGTGGGTAAGAAAAGGTAAGAAGAATCTGTGACTATCACTCATTTATAGGCATACTAGAGCATTAGCCAAAACAAATCTTTAGACATTTGAATGTGCTATTTTAAAAGACTTTCAACAAAATACAACATGAAAACAAAGTGGTTAAACACATGGAATGACTTTTTATTTTTTTTAGGGTTGCACGGTCTGTCTGGGGGGG